TCTCCAACCCTATTTTTGCATACCATTCTTTATGAAAAAGCTTATTTTCTATTTGGTACCATTTCTCAAGTATGTTGTGTTAGCATCGTCTTGCTAATTCTGACCTGTTCTTTTCATTTCTGGTCATCAYTTTGCCATAGCTCATTTATTTAAAGTAGGTGTGGTCACATGACCACCAGCTGCACTGGGCCTGTTGATATATCTCTTTTGCGAAAACAGAAAAAATACAGAAAAAATCCATGMMGCCATCAGCAACTGTCAGCTTTCCATAATAAGTTTTGTTTTCTTTCTTCTTTTTCTTCTGTTGCAGTAATAAAACCACATATTTCATTTTCTCTTCAGATAAACGACAAACCAGACAATAGTTAACAATATGCTATATCAGGCTCGTACAGTGGTTTTAATGTTATTCTGATGATAACCTGTTGGAAATGTTTAAATCAAACCTAATATCACCAAAACTCTTTGACATTTTCACACATTAGGCACATAATTCATGTAAATATATTACTTTTCCAAAATCAAGTTTTAACAACTTTTATAAAATATACAACACTTTCTTCTGCAGCTTAAGATTATTAAATTTATTATTCAYGCCTAAAAATCCATAATTTCCATTAATGAAATATGTGTATACAGATAGCAGTGACTAGGAAAATGGGCGTTTATTGAYTCAATGAGTCATTTTGAATAAACAATCTATTGTGTTTTACTAAGTGTTCAATGTCAGTCTAAATAAATGCTGTCTATCTATGAATACCTATATTTCTCTCTTTGGAAAGTTGTTATTTTCACTAATTATTAATTACACTAGTAATTTTTAAACAACACATTTGAGGTTTCTTTATATATTGCAAGAAAAAAGATTATTTTATTAATTTGCTTAACATATATCATTATATAACAAACAGAATGGTCGCTTGGACATACAAATTTTATCTTCTCATGTTTAAAAATCTCCACTCCTTAGAGACCTTTTCAACACTGCAAGATAAATACCATATCGCTGTGAACCCATGTAATATCCTCTATAGTCTGTAATAGTCACACAGAAAAACCCTGGATAAGAATATTCATGTCTAGAGTTCAGGCTGATTATGTGTTCATAAGGAGTTCTGTTATATGCAGTGTCTTGCTATATTTACATTAAATGTTTTTATCATAGGTAAATAAAGACCTGAGATGGAAAACATCAATAATTCAAAGACATCTACTGCAATTATATCTACACAGGGGTCTAGGAAATTAATATGTCTATAACAGACCGAGGTAAATATAATATATATAGGTCATCGTTTTAAGAAATCTATGATGATTAAATTGCTGGACCTAGCTGCCCAAAAAAAGGTATCATCTGTAAGAGAACATTTTAATGGTCTCAACAAAATAGGAACTTTTCCAATAGACTTAACAGCCAAGTAAAATGTGCTGGTCAATAACAAATTTCTGGTGGTTTTACGATTTYAACATGTGGCATGATTAATTCAAATCATTTATAATTTTTACAATAAGCGTGCAAACAATTGTAACGGATTTCATTTTGCACTGAAGAAGATCTGAAACCAGATCGAAACGTCTGAATTAAATACATTAAGCTAGAGACSACTAGATATTTGTACTAATTCTGAATCCTAGCTGCAACAACCACATTTTATAATTATCTAAAACCTAATTATTCTGACGTCTTGATATTGAGATTTATAATCTAMACCCTATTGTTCTTAAAAAATGACTACAAAAAAAAAGAACCAGTCACATGATTTCAACAATTATAATGTTTGAAGCGAGCCATAATGGTAAATAAAAGACAAGGTTACAAGACTAATTTAGTTTTTTTCTGTTATCTAATTGTAGAATATAATATGATAGTTTCTCGAATTTTTCTCATCTATGAAAAACTTATATTTTTGAATATTTGATTAACCCAGCCGTGGTAGAGGACATATAATTCAATTTGTTATCCRTACCTGTGGCTGTAAACTAAGCTGTTTCCACCAAAAATGGATTTTTTTCCAACAGATTTATAAAGAACACTGCTGGTCAAAATTATTAGTAATTTGCAATTTAACATCAGCTGATTATTTAAATAAATATATTAATTATAATATCATTGTATGGGGAAGTAGCTGATCCCATTAAAGAGTGCTCAATACACATAAAGTGTAGAGCTAGTTATATATATATAATATCAAAGAGGCAAGATTTTGCTGTAACTCCGAGTTAAAAAAAAAAAACAAAAACAAAAAAAAAAACTAGGAGTTACAGCAAAATCTTGCCTCTTTGATATTATATATTTAATTATAATATCATAAATACAGCTGTTTGCAATAATTCTGACCCCCTCTGCCATATTTCATATATATCAAACTGACCTTAAATATTA